TTGGATGGACATTGCAGATGGACAATAAGCTAGACTCAGAATTGAAAAGGAGGAGATCAATAGGCAGAAACCATGCAACAGTTCCTAAGGTCCCTAAGGTGCTCACTGCTATAAAAGCAGTGCATTTTAGCACCACTATTTCCCCAATGATTCTATATGGTTGCAAATTGTGGAACACCACAATCTGAGAGATCAAAATTGCAGGTGATCCAAAAGGCAATAGAAAGATTTATGATGATATGTAGAAATGTTTCTATCAGTATTTTATGTAGTGGACTGGAAGGAAAGTGTGTGCTTCTTGATTGTGGGTGGGAGGGTAAATGAACTAAATTGTAAAATACTGATGTAATATCATTATGCCATCATACTGATGAATGTGAGGGACTCAGAGAAACTGAGAACTCCTAGGTAAAAAGGTACAAGGGCAACCAACTCTCTGATTTTTATCCCAACAGTTAGCTGAAAAGAGAACCAGATCTAACAATGCTCAAAACATCCAAAGAGAAACTTCAGTAAGCTCTTTCAAGGACTGAACAAAAAGATAATGAGAAGCTGCAGATATTGGAAGAGGGGTCTTGCCAGAAAAGCCCACATCAAATAGGCAAACAGTTAGGAAGCTGTCAGTAAGGAGCTGTTGGCAACAAACTGCCCAGGAAAACTCCAGGGAACTAGGTTATCTGTTGTAGCTTAATGAGGGGAACTCAGGACGCACAGAAAAGACAATGTCTTTACAAGAAAAATGCTAGGGAGGGCAGTAGTCAGTAGCAGCAGCAACACTTTAACTAGGGAGTGTCAGGGGGACCTAGAAAACCCTGTGGAGGAATAGCAGATCACAGCACTGCCCTCACCAGGGAAGCCCCAGGAGACACAGAGAAGGCAGCACCCTTGTTAAGGAAGCTTCAGGAGGGGACAAGACCACCCAGTGCCCTAATTGTGACAGAGCTTTGACCAGGAACACTAAAATCTACCAGGGCTCTAAGTGCAGACACATCAAGCAAAGTTTAAGTCAGCAACAGGAACCCAGGTAAGGGAAGTCAGGACCAAACAGGACCTGTCTATTCTACCCAAGATTGTGGGAGAGGACAGAGCTTGGCCCTAGCACTGAATCCTAAATCAAAAACTAAGGCTAGAGACAGGAAGAAAAAGATGCTAAAACACTCTGAAGAAATATTATGGGTGGGTCTAGAACTTGGGTCTTCTGACTTTAGAGTCAGTGTTCCTTCTACCATACTAAATTTCGAAGACTTGAACTCATGCGCATTGAAGTAGTTAGATCTACATTGTGACCATAATAATATACAAGTAAATTTAAAAAACAAACTGTGAACTGCTTTAGAACTCAGATCAATGCAGTGTCCATTTATGACCTACAGAGACAGAGGGTGAGCATGCTCCCTACCTCTCCATAGAAGTGGTGGACTACAGGTATAAAATAAGACATATACAGAGCATCCCAAAAATCTTTGTGAAGTTTTAAGCTTTAATTGCTTTTGGGACACTATATATTCAGACGTGTTGATTTATTTTGCTTGACTGTGCTTATTTATTCTTAGGGAGGGTTCAATGGTGGGAGTAGGTAGGTGAAGGAGTAACTGGGATGTAAAAGATACAAAAAAGAAAAGAGCATCAATAAATCTTTTCCCACCACTGTACATCAAGTGGGAATTTATTTGTGTGTGATGTCGCTTGGCCAGTTCTCAGTCTGGTGTAATTTTTCTATTCACCAAATGACTACATCTCCCTCTTGGATAGCAAGACCCAATGTGATTCAGTTACATTGTAGGCAGGTGCTCCCTGGTCAGAAAAGCAATCTAGTTTTTAACTCCCGAAACAGGCCACTTCGCCCCCTTGGTCATATAGCCTAAGCAATTCCAACAGGATAGGGAAGGGGTAGATGGCCTGCAGCCCTGCTGCTGGTACAGGCAACCCTTTTACTTTACTTAGAAAAATACACTTCTTCACCTTCCAGACAAGACAGAAAACAGGTTCTCAGGTAGAAGAGGCCTCTGGAGCCAATTCTGTCCATCCTGATCATTTGATTGAGTTAAACCCAGGACCCCTTTTTATAATTCCTTTCCACACTGGCCCAGGAATCCAAATTGCTAACCAATCCTACCCCCAGAAGCTATGGGTCGCCTTTCCCTGACAGCTTGGGTGACTTGTGTCCTCAAAATCCTTTCTTAGAAAGGTGGACATGGTATCTAAAAACTGGACAAGTCGATTTCTCTGTGACCCTTGGCTGGAGACCAGTAAAATATTAAAAAAAAATTTGTGCCAACAAAATGACTAATATGGAAATGTTTTACATGATTGCACATGTATAACCTGTATCAGATTGCTTACTGTCTCAGGAAAGGGAGAGGAAAAGTAGGGAGGGACAGAATTTGGAATTCAAAACTTTTTTTTAAAAACCTGAATATTAAAAATTATTTTACATGTAATTGGGGAAAAATAAGATATTATTTAAAAAGAGAGATGTCATTCAATCAATAACTATTTTGCACGTGAAATGTGGAATAAAAGACAATGTCAAAGACTCTGTGGAACTGGAAGAAAGAGGTGTGTCAGCAGTCACATAGTGAGAACAAAAGATGACAGATGAATACCTTAAGTGTTGTACTTGTATCAAAGGGTGACATATAGTATGCTGGATAGACCTCCATGGGGGATTTATGGGAGGACACACAACAACCACACAGGATGAAATGGTACGGATGGGATGTGTCCTATTCTGGTGGTGGATACTAAATGAAAACAAAGGCTTGGGAACAGATCCACTGAGGCGTGTGTGTGTGTGTGTGTGTGTGTGTGTGTGTGTGTGTGTGTGT